TAAGAAAGTTCGACTTACGGCGACTACAGAGGCTGTCGAAGACCGTCTACACGAAAAACTATGTTTGAACAAGTAGACAGTTTTTCGGGCACGTACACCGGTGCTTTCTACAATCGGGGTGCAATATAACATAAACGAATATTGGATAGGCGACCAATAATAAAGTTGCACTTTAAATATAAGAATTATCTTCGATTGCGCTGCAGGTTCCAAGTGGGCAATCACAAATATACCATTTTCACTTTAAATTGGACATTTTGCAAATCCAATTGGACACTGCCAAGTCAAATCAAGAATGCATACACGATGGGGGAAGTTTCAGCCGTGTCACCTACTATGGATATGAGAAAAAATACTTTAAAGTGGGAAAACAACAGCAACCTTACTGGCCAAATTTACCTACCTCTTCTTGGATGTTGGCGTTGTGCTCAATCAAATCTCTGGCTAGATAGAAATAACAGAACCATTAGCCCTCTTGTGGGCATGCATCGCTCTGTAGTTTTTTCTGATCGACGAGGTAGTTACAGTTGGAGAGTGCACTGTGAAGAAGGTGGCTAATGTCAGTGAGTATTCCGGAAACCAGTTTAGTGCATTAATTAACGTGTGTGTATACAATTGTTTGAACCAGTGTTGATTTTTGAGTGCCACTGCAGCGAAACAAGTGTTTCACCGAAATATCAAGCAGCTTGAAGTGCCTACATAGTATACCTGAAAACAAACACAGAAGCAATAAGTCCAGTGTGTTAGAATGCACGCAGTGATGAATTCTAGGACCAAATTGCACTGTACGCAGGATGATCGCGATCGAACAACGTAAAACGAAAGTCGTCTAACTTTGGGGTATTTTGTTCACCTGCAGTGACCACTATAAGTCGTGGCGCAGTGTAACTCCAAGATACCTTGGTTGGCGGCATCCGGTTTCGGATTTGCCTGTCACTGTGGCCAGCCACAGGACGCCTGCGCCTACAGAGGGACCATGGGTGGCTTGCGCTGCACTACTCACAGCTCCAACCACACACCCCATATCCAGGGTAAATCCGAAGGAATAAGACCGGGAGGCATGCGGATGGGAGCCACGTTTCATCAACGGAGCCGACCCACACTCCTTCACAGACAAACACAAGCACGCTGTATTTGGGGAATCAAGTGCACACATGGCGGTGGCTGGACCGTAGTCCGCTCCACACTGAGTGCATGGAACCACTCTTCGAGCCTAGCACGGCCACAAGGACCGTGCATCCCGTCCCCTCCAGCAACGACCAACTGTCTCCTGGAGCCAGTATGAACGAGGTAGTGGGTAATAGACAGGTAGGCACCTTGTCAATATGCACATCAAGCGCAGTCACACCGGGGATAGCACGCAACAGCCAATCACTTGAAACGACAAAATTAAATAGAATAAATTCAACAATGCATACAGATATGGTGGCATAACTCTTCGCTAAATTAGCAAATGAAGTAAGTTGGTTACCAATGAATCCGCGATAAGGAAAAAATGTCCACAAGTTACTCAAAAATGCTACAAACGCAACAAAATTACCGAAGATAAGCGCACTTAGCGTAAGCGACGTGGCCAGCTAATAGAAGACTATTCAGATAGGCAAAACTAACCAAATAAACTGGAATGAAATTTATGCAGCTTAAACAGATCTAGTTTAAGTGTAAGTTGGTTTAGCCCAACTGCGGTGAAGAAGCATCAAGAATGCAACATCAGCCAAGATGCCTTACTGACGTACATAAACTCATACTGTCACCTGCAATTTGAAGTCTAGGACATTCCGAGACAAGTTCATGGTAACGAATTGCTTGTGACGTGAAGACAATCTCCTTACACTTGGACGCGTTTAGCGTCAAGCAGCGGCGGTTCGACCATTGCACTAATTCATCCAGACAACTTTGCAGCTTGATTGAGGAGGCCGAGGTTGGATGATTCACACCGATGATAATGTCATCTGTATCTTTTAACAGAATGGTTTTCTCTGGAGCAGGTATCAAGCTAACGTAAGTAGAGAATAAGAATAGTGACAAAATTGCTCCTTGAAAGACACCGGAATCTGTGGTAAGTGGTGAGGAGCCTTTTCCGTCATAACTGGTATCCTGATTACGTTTGGCGAAATAATCCTTTAGCAAGGATACTAAGGAAGGTTGAGTACCAAAGTGTGTACATCTCGCAATTGCATTTTTCAGTTAACACAGCCAGAAGTGTTGCTGTAGTAGAAGAAGCAAACACATGTAGATTTAACCTTACTGTCTAGCGACGAAAATACGAAAATGCACGAGACTCGCCACTGCGTCATGTGAATCTTGAACTGATAGCGGTCATTAAAACAGGACTGGGCCAACATTCTTTCAAAAATAATTTTCTCAAAACCTTCAAGGCCACCGAGGTACTGGCGTTACGCTGGCAATCCTTCAACCATCAGCGATTTTTCCTTGTTGTAGACACATTGTGTGCAACTTAGCCTGTGGCTGGGTAAGCAATCCGCATGCTGCTTGAGGATGACAGGAGATAAGCTGTCAGGTCCGCACACCTTGCTTGAGTGCAGCTGTTAACTTCGTGTGCAGTGATGCAAAGTCGACAGGAGACAGGGAGTCCGTAGACCACTGAAACGCTACGGGTGATGAATCAGAGAGGGAGTCACTACTGGGGTCCACGTCAGAATTTCTACCAAGCCGAGTGACTCCGCTTGGTTGTTTCATTATTCGCCAACTCCTACAAACATTGTTGTTTCCCAGACATAGATATGATTGAGGTGATGCACTCCTTAACACGGGCAAAAGTAGACTTCACTAAAGCGCGGTCTTTGTTTTTGTAGGCTCTCTCCTTGAGTCTACGAAGCTGATTGAAGTGCGACGAGGACGAGAGATCAACACGGATGAAAAAAGTTTCTATCGGGCATCAGACATTATAACAGAAGTTCAGATACCTTGTCACTTGGTCACAGTATGTTGATACATCTGTGTATCGTATTCTAAGCAGAAAATCGTTAATTCGTTAACAAAGTGGGTCGCTGAAATAGTCGCCTACTAAAGTTGGGTAACGTTTGGCTGAGTCACAATTCGGGAGTTTGACTTTCCATTAGTCGCACAGCTGCACAGGTTCATGCGTACACGCAGGCACACAAACTACGCGGAGACCAATGAGGAGAGAGTGGTGGAAGCTTGTCACCGCTTTTGATCGAAGTGATCGAGGCTCACGATCAAGAGGAGGCGTTGCACTTGCACACCCTGTTTATAAAGTTCTGTTGCATTATCCTGACTCCATTGTGGTCTGCGCATCGTCCGATTGCCTTACACCTCATTCCTTGCTAGCACATTGTTGCTTACCTGGTTAAAATACAATATGTCCAATTTGATTTGCAAAGCATCAAATTTCAAGTGAAAATGGTATGGTACATAAAAATGACAGTTACTTTTTGTGCCGACTGCGTACAATTTAACCAGCTCTACCTTTGGCAAAACTAGCGTTTTGTTCAATCATCACCTGTATCAACTGGGTTAGGTGCGTGCATGGGCATCGTGATCTGGATGTCCCCATACGTCTCTGAGATTCAACTGGCTCTTAACTGCCCAACCTATAATCTCAGTGCCTGCTGTACAAGCAAGTGCAAGCGCACGTTGCAGTTACAGCTTGCTAAATAATTGCCCTTGATTACCACGAGCCTCCAGTGTATCGATCACTGGTATGTTATGTAGATGCCCCTATATCTTAAACTGTATCAGGTATACTTAAGCCCTATCTTCTTACTGTACTGCTCTTTTTGGACCCCTTACCTTTTCACCCACGATATTTTGATGCTTTACTGTTTCTTGCTGGCAAGGTGCCGCTTGAGTATATACCCCACATGTTATGCTAGCATACTCGTATGCAATGCACTCAGAACTACCATATCTCCGTCTTGATGCAGTTGACCGCACAGGCTATAATCTCACCACTGTCATACATAAGGTATTGTTTGCTGTCGTCCACTGTTTTTTTATATTAAACACTACCGAATATGACAAGGCGTGAATGTCATCCAGATCATAAGCTAGTGAGGTTGTGAACGGGAGCCAATCAAGTGCTGGAACAAGAGTTTCAGCTGCATTGCTGAGATCGTCTCCGTTGGTGCCAATAATCTTAGTTGTATCAAAGTGCATAGTTTAGTCCATTTACGATAGATTCTTTGAGGACGGCCAATTTTGTTAACCTGCCCTTTTTCAATGTGTAGATAACCAACCCAGATTGAATCGCGACCCTCTAACATTGTGCTACTATCTGAACATAGGCTTTACTGCGTTAGACTTACTCCTAACTGGTTTTTCACCTAGATTTACAATCACTAGGACATTTACGTGGGCAGAATCCATGGTTTTTCAAGCCCACGGACCGACGTGACAGTCTAGCTTAATCGAAATGGGCCTGTCTTGGCTAGTTGACGTGTCAACCAGTCTCACTGACTGTATGCTCCATCCTATGATCAGTCGAATACCAGCTGTGGTGAAGCATGTGGCCTTATTTTTCCCACTTGTCTCGTAGCGGAGCTTGATAAACTAGTACATAAACAGTTGATGAGTTACAATTCAGGCCCAAGGATACTGAGCGCATTTTGTGCCCGCCTGTCCCACAATTGCAGCGATTCGTTTGTCTCGGGTGACAGGTTCATTGCTCCTTCACATTTTGCACTGCCTACCCAATTATTTTTCGATTTTGTGAAACAGCATCGTTTGTCAAATACTGAGCGAAGGTTGATGTATAACAGAAGCTCAATTGATTATAAACAGTTCGTTCGGCTATTTGAATGCATGCAATAGACGCATGTCAGAATGATTGGCCCATCCAAGGCAGCTCCTCAGCTGAGGGGTACGTAAATAGTTATCCGTCTCATTGACTGTGTTTAAACGCGGCTGTTTACTCATAAGTGCTTTTAATGCTCTATGGACTTCATCGATTGCCTAAACCTGTTGACATTTATAAATATTTTGAACCGACTAACCATTGACTCTTTTACATCCCACAGTTGTTGGATTTCATTGCCGCTCCAAAACCCGAGGTGCCACCAGATGAAGAAAACATGGTTGGAAAGATTGAAGAAACTCTGGACTTCCTGTGCACCGGTCCGCTATCCGAAAACCCACAGGATGTAGAGGCGAATGAACTGGCACGACTTCTTACTAAGCCCCTCTTTCGTTACTTTGCTGAGGCCTACACTGAGGCTGCCACCAAGCGCTACTACATGCCCGAACTACCCGAATCCGGTTTGTATACTGTGTCCGGTGCTGGAACTTACGGGACCATGCCAAGTCTGATGGCCAGCAGAGGGTCTACTCTGCCTCTAAATGCACCAAGCACTGGCAATGTTTCTGCTTCTGGGAGGCAAACAGATATCAACGGATACGACGGATCGCCAATGGCATTTGTGGAGGCACCGGGTTACGATGGGGCTCCTAAGACACAGGCCACTCTCACGGGTGGTGGGTTTGGTCCAGCACTTCCACCAGTGGAGGGCACTGTGAAGATTATAAGCTTCCAGAAAAATCTAGGGGAAGATTTGGTAAGTGATGGGCGGTGTACAATAGATCAAAATTGGAAATCGGTATTCAGCGCTCGCAATACTGCTCACTTGGTAATTATCTAGTTCAACATTTCACACAAACCATTAATCAAGTTTAGAAAGCAGCAAACGAGCATTTTAATGGCTTTACGTCCGAGCTTGCGCCCGGAGTGAACCCAAACTTGGATAAGTGCTAGTCCAATGAAAGCGGATAAAAACAGAGGGGACGAATAGCAGCCTCCTTTAAGCTTTGCTATCCCAAGCAATACAGCAGTTGCATCGGCTCATGACCCTCAGATACTCTACCGCGGGGTCGCATCTTGTGTCATCGCGGTCTTATATCCAAGTGTCCACTGACCACCGCTGTTTCTGACTCACGATTAATGCAGGTAGGAAAGCTGGGGCAAATCACTGAGCCGGTATGCAGTACGCATTCCTATGTTATCGCAACATATGGGGAAATGACTGGGATTGGCGACTATCTGTATTTGCTGTTCGAAATCTCGCCAGCAATATGATGGTACTATCATGATCCGGTGGTGGTCAAAGGCATCCCACTCACAAGCATCATGCAGGGGATGTAGCTAGAGTTCGCACCCGTAGGGTGGGACTGCGTGTCTGATATCGGCCCTACAGAGTGAGAATAGGATTTGATTGCGGTCACAGCCAATGGTGATCAGGTTTCGAATATGGCCCTAAATATGTGGAAACGTGTGGCGTCCTACAAATGGACAATCTATTCTGCATCTCAGCTAGTCACCTCTGCACAGAAGAACTAGTGAGGCAATCTAACTCAGCCCACACCAACATACAAATTCACCCTTGAATCTGAGTGCAACAACTCAATGTCGTTCAGATTAGCCGAAGATCCGACGGGTCTATCCAGCGGAGTGTCCATAGAAAGGCAACGTGGAACGGGCCATATACCCATTTTGCCAGCTTCGTTTCACTCAACCAGAAACGAAAACTTGTTCGGTGCCTAACCGAGCGTTCAAGAAGGATAGGTAGCAAGGACATGCTACCGAACGGGCTAAACTTCGTACGAAGCCTATTCGACAGAAATGACTATCCGAAGAAGTTCGTTCGGAGAAACATGGAGCTCGGAGAAGCAAAAGCAAAAGTTGTTTCAGTAGGAAACAAGCCGATCTACTTATCGTCATCGTTCAAGGGGACGGGATAGCTGAACGACATCTAGAGGGCTTTCTGACACCATTGCTCAAATATAGTATGCAGCGATGACGTAGCAACTACTTTTGCCACCCGGGCGGTGGTAAAGTTTTCGCCGCCCCTCTGGCTGTTGTATAGCTGTAAACCCACAAACATCCCTACATTATTTCGTGTCGGAGAACAACAACCAACGAACTAACTTTATTGTGCAGACGCGAACTTTACACATACACTTTACATGCCTTACATGCAGCGGAACTGTCGATAAACAGTAGCAGAATTTAGTCTCTCGGCCAGTTCCCTCTCTATAAAGCGAACTGTCAAATCCGTCAATGTTGTCCGACTCATTGCTGATCGAAGGTAGTTTTTCATAAGCTTGAATTTGGCGAAAGAACGCTCACAGTTGGTAATGCTAATATCCCGGGTAAGAAAGATGCGCAGCAAGATCACAATACTCGGTGCAGATTCCCCAAGGTGATATCTATGTATAAAGCTCAAAAGTTCAACCGATCCATCGATTTTGTCGTTTCCTGACGCTTTTACAAAACAGTGCAGTTTTCTTTCGGCATGGAACTCTTCTTTTCTATATCCTCCTCAACTTCGCTATGTGAACAGTAATAGTTCTCACCAAGCAAATTCGACGGTGTCAAGAAAGCATATTTGTTGGCAAGTTCATGAACTTGCTGAAATCTACGACATATTTCATCAGTCAGTGTGTCAATTACAGATAGCATTTCCTGTCTCAATTCAACATCAACTCCCATCGACGAATCAAGCGATTCTTCTTCATCCATTCGTTTCTTTTCTGGTGAATTCGTCGCTCCATGCTTATCCCCAATTCCGAGCACAGTGTTCCAGATGTATTCATTGCACTGTTCACCATCTCTCTGTTCTGAAGAAGGTAACCTCTTAACGCTGTCAGGTTAACAGAACTTTGCTGCAAATTCAGCCCATTTTGTTTGAAGATAATGCTATGCGTCATTGATTTCTGAGAAAACAGAACTACAAAAGCTCAGAGGTGAAGTAAACAGAAACGACTGCACCGGGATGAGAAGAGAAGAGGCATCTGATCTTGTGGCCAACTTTTCTCTTTCCTCGCTGAGCTGTTCCAGAGCATTGACAATTTCTGTGTACTTCTTCATCACAACGTTTACGGCTTCTGCTTGACTACTCCATCTAGTTTCTACAGACCGCTTGATATTTTGACCGGTCACTTGAATCAAAACGTTCCAGCGGTATGTGTATGTAGAAAAGAACGAAAAGAGCCATACCATTGTACCAAAACATGTAACCGATTGCACCGTTGCAGAAGCTGCATGTACACATTCCAGATTAAGAAAATGGTTTGTGCATGGCACAAAAGTAGCTTTAGGGTTTATTTCACAGATGCGTCTCTGGACACCCGATCGGTAGCCCGCCATAATAGCAGCATTGTCAAATGCCTGGCCACGGCAATCATCAATCTGAATTCCATCTCTCGCCAGTTCCTTTAGAATCATCCCAGAAATGTCTTCTGCACTTTTGCTGTGGGTTTCAATGAAGCGAAGGAAATGACTCCACAACAATCACTTCATTTTCATCGATCTTCACGTAACGCAACACCTCGCTCATCTGATTTTTGTGGCAAACATCAACAGTGCTATCAAAAAATTAAGTAAAACATGCTTGCTTTCCTTGACCTGATCCATGATTTTATTTCTTACCTGCTTTGGTAGGATACTCATAAATTCATTTTGAACTTCTGCAGACAAATACGAAGTGCCGGTGTTTGTTCCCAGCTGAACTGTCAGCAAATATACACAAAGAACGAGGTCATATATGGCTAACAAATTTGCCAATTCCAGAAACTTTCCTTTATTTTCCAGCCCTCGTTTTCATCTTGGATGTGTTCTCTGTGACTACGCAATGTCATATTCTGTTTGGCGAGAAACCTGACGATATCCAGTAATCTAGTTGGAATTTCACATCGTCTCTGTGTCCATTTTGCTACTAGTGCTTGCTCCACTTTGACACTTGGCTTTCCTACAATCAGCCGGATCCCTAGTTCCTACCAGTTGACGAATCCCTGAGCACGCACTTTACTAGATTCGTGCTCATTTACTTTCGGATTAAATTTCAACCAATTCTCGAAACCCTCGTCAGTCGAAAAACTAGACTGCCCCGTTGAAAACATTTTGCAGCAGAAGTAAAACGGGGACTCTTTAAACGGAGAATACACCGTCCGTGTTCGCAATCTCTGCTCACCGTTTCGCAATTCCCAAAAAACCAGTTCTTTGTAAGCTTCCTAGCTTCGCCTTTCGTATTTGTTCCAAGTCGAACAACCTCTTTAAATTCATGATCGAGATGTTGCACAGCTGTATATCCCAGCGGAACAAGCATAGTGCGCATTTAGTGATCAACCTTAGCAGGCCTCAGACCAACATCCGTTAAATCAGTTGATGTGCCTGTTATCGTGCCAGCCAGGGGTTGGCTTTTCAACTCTTTCAATTCGCGTACATCTGCATCGGCATTACAGACAGTTCACTCTGTATCAATACTGTCAATGTACTTTTCTTTTGTCCGGGTATCAACGTTTCTGGTAGCAACTGCATCTTCGACCTCAGCATGATTAACTCCTTTCGTGTGTGTCGCCTACATTCTTCTTTGTTTCCACTTCTCTGGCCCTCTTCCGCCTACGAAATGGCACACCGCTTTCATTCACTCTTCATTAATGGAATGCGCACTGCTGACGATTCCGGAAAGGATGAAACGCGCGTACAGTGCTTTTCCGAGCGTGTGACGGCTATCTGAGTGAGTCCATACCTCTTCGGAGTCAAGTGAATCCATAACGGAATCAAGACAAAGCAAATCATGTTCCTCCATAAGTGTATTCCACTCAGGCCATAAGCATATCAAGTTGAATCCAATTTGGCGCAATGCAAAAATGCGTGCCCATCGTCTTGACCAATTGCGAATCAGTGCATGAGTACTCAGATCACCTGCATCGGTTGATGCAGCGGTTAGGCTTTGCGCTCACCCAACAAACCACGTGATGCATGCGCGGACGCCAAAACAACACGTGAACTCTGTCACTGCAAGATGCGATGCATACTAGCACGCGGCGTCCATGGATGGTTGAGGAAGTACTTTAACTCCCACCCACTCACTTGTGCGGCATCGACGCACAACACAGAACTGGGGGGCCGGAGATTCCCCATCCGCGTTCATAGTGCTCACTGTTGCGCACAAGCGACCGGACGTGACGTGTGCTGCACAATGAGATAGTATCGATTGCCTTCAATGAAGGTAGCAGACATCGTCAACCTCACGTGGTGTGACCTATGCTTAGCGGTGTTTACGTGTGATCGGGTGTGGATAATAGTGCCTAGGTGAAATAATCAATGCGTACGGTGCTTCACTACGCGCTATCATGGAACATGGCGGTAGTTATCGGTGGGTGTGGCCGAATTACCTGTTAACTGCAGTTGATCGGCCTTAATGGTGTTAGCATCTGCACAGCAATTCATGATGTACTGCAGTGAGCTTTGCGGAAAGGTACCTCGTTAGTTGTGCTAAGGTTACCGGGTTGGCTCAGCTTGTATTTGCTGGTCTATCTACAATTGTTGATATATTGCAGCCGTTGACAGGGTGAACGAATACGTTTGTGGAGAACCGTCATGAATTCGTGTGGAACGAAGATGCAACTATGATCTATGTTAACGTCAGCGCACTGCTCACCAAGGTGCCAAAATGCGACGCACTGGATATGGTGAAACGATGTTTGACTGAAGATACTAACCTGGGGAGTGGCCGAAGCTTAAGGTGGTTGAAACAACTGAAAGTAAGACATTGCA